TACGCCCGCGAAAGAATGGACATAGAGTATAAACTGGACATGAAAATAATTGTAGAAAATCTAAATGCATTAATGGTAAATAAAACAAGTAGTGATAAGTTTATAGAATATTGTACTAGCATAGGAATAAGAGTAAACAAAAAGAATAGCAATTAAGACTTACTATTAAGTATAATTGAATTTATATAACAATAGTAAGTAAGCCAGAAAGAAAACAAAAATAGGACAGAAAATTGTTAGCATAATAAGAAAATAGAAAATAAAAGTGTACTAGAATAAGTTTTAGAATTGTATAAGAAAATAGTAAACTAGAATAAGATCCCACTGTATAAAAGAAAACATGTTAGTCTTAAGAAAAATGTTTTAATTTTAAGTATTTTGATTTTTTCTAAATAAAGAAATAAAGCAGTTTATTCAATATTCAGCCAGAAGGCACAAGCAATAAGTGTAAGAAACATGAAAATAGATAAATAAAGAGCCCCTTGAACTATAATCCTTGACAAAACGAATCAGGGGACAGAGCTGCTTAAAAAAAAAAAAAAAAAAAAAAAAAAAAAAAACTGCCGGACGACCTCACTTTAGAATCCCCTGTTGGAATTGAGGAGCTCCTGCATCCTGCACATAGGATCTCGCCACAGATCTGCACTGCAATCTCACCGGATGCCGTTAGTTCAGCATGTCGGGGGGACACGGTGCAGATCTACACAGACGGGAGCAAACAGGAGAACGGAGCGGTGGGTGCCGCGGTGGTATGTGTCGACTTGGACGCGCGCCCCACGGTGCTCACCCGCAGATTCAAGCTGCACGATGTGTGCACTGTGTTTCAGGCGGAGGCGTTTGCCATCCTACAGGCGTGCCGCCTGGCCTCGTTACGGGGATACCGCGATGCCTTGATATGCTCGGACTCCCTATCCGTCCTGACCGCCCTGGAGCGGCGGAGCACGGTCGCGCCCATCCTGACCGCGATTCATCGCATTGTGCATGAGCATTCCCCAGTCGGCGAAATCAGATTTTGTTGGGTCAAGGGCCATGCCGCAATTCCGGGCAATGTCCGGGCGGATATGGAGGCCGGGGCGGCGGCGGTCATGAGAACGGCCCCAAACTATTGCCACTTCCCGATGTCATATGTCAAGGGGATCCTGCGGACGGAGGCCCACCANCGTCAAGGGGATCCTGCGGACGGAGACCCACCAGGCGTGGCAAACCAGGTACGAGGAGGCGCCCCAGGGGTCCCAAACAAAGAGGCTATTCCCAACTCTCGCGGACTTACTACGGTTCCGAGCGCTGGCTCCGATGTCATTCCAGCTGACACAGTTTGTTTCGGGGCATGGGGCGCACCTCAGTTACCTGCACCGCTTTAAAATTTCGACAACTTTTGCCTGCCCCTGCGACGGCTCCTCCGCTCAGGACCCTTGGCACCTATTGGTTCACTGCCCACGCTTCGCGGCAAAGCGCCTGGAGCACGACATCCTGTGTGGGCTGAGAGGGGTGGAACCGTTCGACTTTGTGGCGTTGGGGGGAAAGGACGAGCTGGTCCAGTCGGTTGTGCGCTTGATAGTATATATCTACGACCAGATAAAGTCATTTAACAGTGGGGCGCAGTTAGATCAGTCATAAATACATGTAAACTAAGAAAGTCTCAACACCTTATGTGTACCTACCCCTGTGATGACTCTCCACACCCTTACACTCTGTAGACCTCCAACCACTTAACACCTGTGGACTGGTCGTAAGCTGTGCCTCGGCGGCCGTGCGATTGACATTCTACTCTCTGACCTCGTCCTACATTTTACATACTTTACATACTTTACTTTATAATGCTCATCTGTTCTCTTTTTTTTATATTTCCATATGTTCCTTGTGTATTTTACCTCATATTAGTCGTGTACAGTCACTTATTCACTAGGACTTTTTGCTCTATGGATTCACCTCCCTCGGCTTAACACCCCAGCAACGTTCAACCGGCATCTTTTCGCATCGAATTTGGCTCTCTCGGCGGATTTTAGGGTTTTTATTAGAGTTTTGAAGGGTTTTCGGCCATTATTCTCAGAATTTTCTAGGCTCACCCCTAGCGTTTATCGGTTCTTCGGGTTCGTCTTGACGAGCTCTATCCATGGACACCTCATTCGTTGCGATCGGAGTCCGGGAAGTCTGGAAAATCGCCATTATCTATCGTCAAATTGTCCAAACCGAGGTTACGTGGTGAAGCTCGACAAATCAATTTCCAACTCCTAATTTCTAAAGTATTGTACTGCACCCATAGGTGTCATACATCATTTTAAGCGTAAAATTTTTGCCTACACCCCTGTGCCACTTTGAGGCCCCTGTGTATTCATTCCGCGTACTTATTGGCTTTTATGTTTTATTAAATTGACTTAGTTAATTTTCAACGAATATCTTATAAATTGGCCACTTTTGGTCGGATTTTAGAGTCCTTTTCGCTCAATTAGATTCACCCCCTCCGGCCTTGCACTCCTGCAACGTTCGTGTCACATAGTCTCATACTATATTTGGTATCCTTCCCCCTTAAGTGTCGTTTTTCCCTGTTTTTCTTCTAGACACAGCAATTTGCTCTTGTTTTTATCACCCGTTCGATTGCCGCCTGCGACCAACATGTCTGACAGACCGCGCTGTGCCAGCCCTCGATGCGTGGCCGTTAGGGAGGCGCACGCGAGACTCCTCCAGGATCTGGAGGGGTACCGTAGATACGCGGCACAGCTGCTAGGACTTCAAAACCAGAGCAATACGCTCTTAGACACCATCCTGGGGCCGGCCGTCGAGGAGGGCCACCTGCTTGTCGGCCGGCCCGCTGGTGCGGTCGCGGACCCCTCCTCGGTCGCACCGCGGGCACGGGTCCCGGCCTCTGGCGGCGGGGATCTGGGGGGCCCGGGGGACCTGGCTTGTCCGGAGGTGGGTATCATGCTGGCCGAAATGACCGGTATGAACCCCCTAATATCGCCAATCGGGTCCCCGGGTCGCTCGGGCTCGCGATCGCCGGGGTCGGGACTTTCGGCCCCCGGGACCTTATCGCCGTCGTCCCCTGACCGGCTCCGGGATCTACCGGCAGCGGCTCGCTCTTGCTCTCTCTCCCCCGCCCTTCGGCACACTGGGCGAGGAAACATTCATACTATGGCCACTCCTCCTCATGCCCCCTCCACATCTGAGGCACCCCAGGCTCGGCAGCCACAGCCGGACTGGGGCTGGCATCCAACTACCAGTGGGCCGTCTGCGTTGAAGTTCAGGCAATGCATCCTGTGCGGAAGGAAACTGGACTCCCACGTGGCCAGGCATTTCGCTAAGAAGCACCAGGGATATGAAGTCCCGGTAAATCGCTACGACCGCTCTTACCCTCGGGGCCTTTTCTTCTACTCAAGCCAAATAATGGCAACCTGCCCGCCGGGGGCCAGAGTGGACCCGGCATCATTGGTTGGGGTGGAGGGAGTGGTAGAAAGTTTTGCCCTCCCTCAGCAGTAGCGCTTAATCTGTTAACTTGCAGTCCGCTCTAGTATAGTATAGGATAGGATCGAGTCGATGGGGCGGGATTTGTCCCAATCACCTGAACCTATTATTGTAATTCTCTTACTATTATTGCAATCCGCTCGCGGGCGGTTGTCTTGATTGATTGATTGGCTTTGACAGCCCTCTCTTTATTGGCTATATATCTGTTTTCGTAGCTCCGAGGTGATTCCATTATAACCCCAATTATCGATTGACTCTCCCTGTTGATTATTGATCAAAGAACTAGAATAAGTATAGTGTATGTATAATGCAAATGTAAACAAATGATGAACGTATCGGGTTGGGGGCCGGGGGCCGGGGGCGGGGACGGTTGGCCTCGACCCTTGGGCCTGGCTTGTCGGCCCCGCGCCCGGCGCCCGGCTTCTCAACTGGTATGATGATTAATAGGTGCAACTGCGCCTTAGTTGATTATGTTACTCAAGGGAGTCTATTGCTTGTTAAAAATGTGAGTTGATTGTATACAACCGCAAATCAGTGCAAGAATTTCTTTATATAATCTTATGTCCGATTCCAGTGTTTCTTTTGATTTGCATATAAGTTTGTCCTCTTATCCCTTTTCTCCTTTTTTTTGTATCAATTTGGATTGTTCATGACTTGTATGTTCTGGGTACCTGCGATGGGTTCCGCTCTGACGGGCTGATCTGCGCTGGGTTGGGGGCCGTGGGTAGGGCGCGGGGACGGTTGGCTCCAGCCTCTGGGCTCGGCTTGCTGTCCCCGCGCCCGGCCTTCGGCTTTTTGACCGGTGCGGGTGTTTGGGCCTGGCGGAGCGGGGCCGATTACAGGAGTAAATTCACTGTGTTGCCTCTTTTTTTACAAACATTGCTTTAATATTTGATCGTCACTGTGTACCATACTCTGTGTGGCTCTCGGGGCTGGCCCGCGGCTCGTCGATCCTGCGATCCTCCGATGTCGTCATGGGTAAAATGGGTAAATTGGCCGGAACGGTCCCCGGGACTGGAAAGACATCTAGTCCCGGCAGCCAAGTAAGGTCTGTCTTGGCGTCTGAGGGGGGCGGCGGCCCTCGGGCCGGCCCCGATTGCTCTCACAACTTTGTAGCCTCTTTAGTCAATTAATCAATTAATTTAAGACATCAGTCCGCCTTTTATGATAATCCTGCACATGCATCTAACTGTCTTTGACCCGCGGGCAGGACTCGGGGTTCGTCCGCCCACCGCTGGCGCTGGTGGGACAGGCGATCTGAGGGGCTCAAGGGGTTGGCATTTTTAATAGGAGTGGCCCTTCACTGGGCTAGCCCCAGCCTCAGTGGCCTATTAGGATCTGTGCACGGTCCCGGCCCACAGGGTGAGGCTGGTGGCCCTTGGGGATGGCTCGCGGGTCTGGACTGCCTTAAAAGCTTAATATTCAAACAATAAAGTCCCATTAATTGATTGATTGATTGACTATAGTAAAATGTGACCAAACTTAGCATTTCTCCTTTATCTAATCTGCCTGTGTTGATTAATTTTCTGTGTATGTGTTGATTAATTTNATTCGTCCAGGCCGATAATGCGCATGTCTGCGCGCTTTTCAGGCCTGGTGACGATAACGTCGCCACCGAGAGCCGCCCTCAGCTGAATGGCCAGCTTGTCTGCCTTGTCCTTGGACTCAGCGCCTGGTACCTCAATTAGGCGGGCTCCGGTCGCCGAGTCGGTGACCTTGATGTTGGGGATTCCCAACTCGGCTAGGTCCACTGCAGCCTTGGCCTTGGTGAGCACCTTCTTGTAAGTTGCCCCTCTCTTCTCCGCCTCAGGTTGCAGCGTCACAACAATGGCTGCGCTGCGGGGAGGGGTTAACTTCACCTTCGGCTTGGGCTTGGGTGCCGTCGGGGCCGTCTTGGGTGCATGGGCCGGCTGGGAAGCTGCCGCAGACCGGGGTTTACCCTTTTTCCCCCGCCGCGTCACGGTGGCCCATGTCTCCGTTGGTGGGGCAGTCGAGGGAATCGCCCGGGCCTCTTGGCTGGAAGCCACCGGCTCCGGCTGGGATGGGGGCGGCGGCTTAGCCGCCGTGCGTTTCCGCTTCGGTCCAGGAGCTGGCCCTGCCGCAGGGGCTGAGCTTGCCGTAGGGGCCGGGGCAGTTCTTGAGTCCGCCGCTAGTGGGGGGCGGATGGTCCTCTGGGGCGGCAGACGGCTCTCCAGGTCTCCGATTCTGGCGTCTATGAGCTTGGCCGCCGAGTCTATAGCTCTTTGGCAGGCCATCTGCAGGAGCTCCTCTATAGATTGGGCGCATAATGCGCCCTGGGGGAGGGGGTCTCTCGCGGGAGCCTGGGCCTCCATATCGTCTTCGTTGACTGCCGGCGGGGGCGTCGCATTCCTTATGCCGACATTGGCAGTCAACTCCGCCATCTCGCGCTTAAGGGCGCGGATCTCCACATGGAGACTTTCCATTTCCCGCCTCAAGTTGGCGTTGTCGATCCTCAGCCGGCGGTTTTCCTCCGTCTCGGAGCGGGCTGCCAGCTGGTCGAGGATGCCGGCGAGGTTATCCGCTGACCTGTTGAGGGCTCCTTTCAGGGGACCCTGTAGACGTCCGGATATCTGAGAGACGCGGGCGATCTCGGAGACGAACAGTCCCCCGCGAGCCCTCAGCTGCTCCAGGTCCAGCCTCTCATAGTCCACCTTGGACTTGGGATCCTCAAGGTTCGGCGAGACAGAGCCCGCCCGACTCTTTTCTCGGCGGACCAGACTGGCCTTGGCCCTCCTATCGAGGTCGGCATTAAAGTCGAGCTCCTCCAGCTCCTCCACCCTCCTGTAATAATCTTGGGCCCGCTGGCCACTGCCGGTCTTCTTACCGCGGCGGGCAGTACTGAATTTAGGCGCTGGGGCCACTTCCTCCTCCGAAAGAGAAGAGTTCTCATGCAGAGAGGCAATCTCTTTCCGGCGCTTTCGTGTAGGTTTGGGTCGAACCTCCTTATCCGGCAACGCAGAGGTTGCGGAAGCCTCCGACCCCTGTTCAGAGTCCGTCATGTTTCTGCTGTGGTCGCTGGTTTCGGCGTGTACCTTCGGGGCACAGGCCTCCACCTCCTGATCGTCAAGTTCCGAATCGTAGGGCGAATTCGAGTCCATTTTGGGTTTGCTTTTGTCGTCGTGGCGCGGCCGAGACCGCGGAATAGTGTTGGCCCCCCCGTATACACAGGGCCGACCGCCTTGTGAGCGGCCACGGGATTCCCCAGCATGGCTGGGACCCGCCCGGGTAGTTTTATCCGTTTTAACACTATTCATATTTCAAACTGCTTGCGGGCGCAGCTGCCCCCCCTCACTCCCGGGAAGGGTAACGGCCGGTGATACTCCACCGACCGTGTCGAGCTAATAACACCCGACACTGCTCCTCGGCCCCCCCCAGACCTTGGCATTTGAGGGTTTTATAGACTTTTCCTTGTCTTGACCCCGACTTCCGTAGCCGGGGCCCCCGGCCCCCCTCCGTTGGGGGGTTACGGGTTGCCCGACAGGCCCGCCGAGTTGACGCAACCTGTCGCGCCGGTGAGAAGTCAGCCGCCCGCGTGACAAAACACGCGGCCGTTGCCCGGGGTGCACCACGGGGAGGTCCCTCACCACCGCACCCCAACCTAACCTAACCTAACCTAACCTAACCTAACCTAACCTAACCCCCAGTCCCCCCGCGCCCCTCGAGCCGAGCGCCACGATTTTACCTCGCTCCGCGATTAAAAAATCGGAAAAGTGGTATTTTTTAAGTGTATACCCAAGTGCAATATATCACTCGAATCGCGCTTTCAAGACCTATCCAGTGATATAAGTGTCGTAAACATTCGCTTAAGTAAAGTGTAAACACGTGCCAGATATAACCAAGAAAATTTGTTTACACCTGCAAAAACTCTGGAAATTGAGCGACGACCCATATTTCTGGAACTGCAGCAAGGACCCCCTGAGTGCCCCGGACCCCTCAGGCTTTGTCCCGAAATTTTCCCGTGGAAATTCGGGCCACAGGAGCGGAAAAACTTTTTCCGCGTGGTATCCAGCTCTGCAGTCCTGGAACTTGGGCCCAAGTTCTTTGCAGCCATCGATAGAGGACACTGAAAGGACCCTGAAGGTGTTTTCAAAATTAAAATTGGACCTAAATTCGAGCACCTAGGGGTTACCAAGTTATCGTGAAAGTGACAAAATTTAGTGGTTAACTTTGTGCGGTTATATTTCTCAAACTAAAGCGGTAACCCCAAAATTTTATTATACCACTCGATAGTGAATTTAATATACATTATAGGAAATTAGTGTTTAGATTTTTCCCGCGAGTGGTTCCCGAACGCCAATCAAAAGACTGGAACTAGTGCCTCAAACGGACCGCACACATAAGTTGGCAGGTAGCAGTTTGTTTACAACGAAAACAAAACAAGATTGGCACCTGGATTTTCGTTTTTCGCTGATAACTCAAAAAAGCGATCGGTGACCTACTTTTTTGAGACTGCTACAAGGACCCCCTGTGCCCCCCGGACCTCTCAAGACAAATTCCGGAATTTTTCCCTGGAAATCCGGGACACAGGAAGCAAATAAACAAATCCCGCGTGGTTCCCAACTTCGTTGTTCCTGAACTTGGGCCTAGGTCATGGGTGTCTATCGATAGGGAATTTGACAAGGACTCTAAAGGTATTTTCAAAATTGATTTTGGACTTAAGCTCGAGCACCTAGCCTATTTACAAATTTAGTGCGTGTGAAAAAATTTATCCGTAAAAGTTAATTAGCTGTAATTTCTAAATTAGATCGATAACCTACTAAATTTAATTAACCACCCTTTAGACAATTTAATATACTATCGATTGGACCAGTCTTAAAAATTTTCCCGCGAGTGGTTCCCGAGCGCCAGAGCAAAAACCGGGATTAGTGACTTTGAACCAGCGCCTAGTTAAGTTTGTAGTGAACGCTTGTTGACGCGGAAAGTAGGTCAATAACTAGGTCAAACTCGAAATCGCGTCAAATTTCAAAGTCATCAGGTGCAAAATAAAAAGACAGGCCTTGGGAACAACTTTTGTTCTGGACATTCCACCCCCGAGTGAAAACCAAGGACTAGTGAGGTACCAAGATATTTGTGAACATAAAATTTTTAGTGCGCGATTTTTCAGTTGAATTTTATGAAACATTTTGAATATAACCCTTAACTTTTTTGGACACATTTACATAGACAATTTCATACAGTGTTAAAATATACAAAATTTTTGAACTTTAACTTAAGGGTTGTTAGAGTTAACAAACATTAACCGTGACAGGTGCCGTTAACAAAACTGCAAAGTTAAGTTGGTAGGCCTAATTTATTAGACCAACCCTTACCGACTTCATCCCGACCACCTGGGATAAACTCCTGGGACCTTCCTGAGCAACCTCAGCCCGTCAGCACCATCCCTCGGGCGCATTTGAAGGCTCCAGGGGCTACTTGCAGAAGTGGTGCAACCCCTAACTTCCCGGGCTTCCTGGGGGTGAACGACGAGCACCACGACAACGACACCGGCGCCAGCTGCTGGGGACGACCATATCCTGCAAATAGAAATTAAGTTAATTAGTGTAGTTATTGTAGTTTATTTTTTATTTAATTTTAACTAAGACAAGAGTTTGCAAATTTAGTCGACCCTTAGCTTGTAAACAAAAAATTTTTCTAAACTTTGGGGTGACTTATTTCGTAAACGGGATTATATTTTTAAAATATTTCAACGCTCAGGTCATTTTTTCTGCCGGTTCTACATACTCTCAAAAATTCAAAATTCTAACTTCAAAATTCAGGGGGGTCATTTTCGGTTTTAAATTACGTAACTTAAAATTAGGGAAAATTTTCTAAATTCATTATCTCGGCAACTATTAGGTCTATCGACACGGGGTTTTCGGCTATTAGTGTAGTTTGTCGAGAGCTACAACTTTGGTATAGAGTCCGAGACTCTACGTAGAGCCGGTAGAGTTTTGGATTTGGGCGTGAAATTACAAAGGGTTGACATAAGTAGGCCGTAAACCTACCATAGGAGTCTATTATAAATAACGGGCAAACTCTACATTTGGGTAGAGCTACTATCTTTTGACTCTACCATTTTCAGGGAATAGTACCAGCGTACAGAGCTTGTCGAGACGAGAACAACGAACCCTCGCACGACCCTCTACGGCTTAGGACTCCGGAGATACAGGCATTTTAACTTTCGGCAGCCATTTTGGGCCGCCATCTTGTTTTTAGAAAACACGCCGTAACTTCGGACAGGAGAGTCGTGGGAGGACGGGGTTTTCAACAGCATCAAAGGCTCGACCTGCCCGACCAAACCCAGGTGATAAATAGCAGATCGGACGCGACTCTACCTTTTGTAGAGCGGGTGACATTTCCGGATAGAGCTCGCGAAGACAATTTCAGGGACCCGTCGCACGTCTCTCTGCGACCCACCGTTCGAAAACTAGACCGCTTTGAAGTTTCGTCGGCCATTTTGGCCGCCATCTTGAAAAACTTCAAAGTTTCGCATCTTCGCTTCTGGTGGTCGTAGCGCGACGGGGTTTTGGTTGGGTATAAGCCCACAGCTAGGCCTACAGGAAGGCATACAGTACGCTGCTCTAGGTAGAGCCAACTCTACAAAAAATTTTTACTTGAAATTTTATTTTTAAATTTTATTCTGTAACTAAGGTGTTAGGTTTTAAGTACTAATAGGGACATTAGAGCGCCTAATTTTAGGACTCTACATAATAGTTTACATAGCAAAAAATATTTTCGCTGTATTTAAATAAAAATCTTGACTTACCAATAATTAGACATCCAGGTGAGCATCCCTGCTGGAACTGACGCGTAGGTAGAGCGCGATCTGAAAGAAAGAAAATAGAAGGTTAGTACATAAAGTCACACACACACATACATACACATCTACATTAACACTTGCACACACACTCTCACACACATACACACACACACATACTACACACGCACATACATACACATACACTCACATACACATATACATACACATACATACATACACATACACACAAACTCTCATACACACACACACAGGAAATAAAGTTATTAAACTCTACCACTTACCCTACCTGTCCCTTGACGTACGTGAACCGAGTTTATTGACCGGTCCACTTAGATATAAGACTTACCTTTTTTGGGGCTATTTTAGGGTTAATTTTATCATATTTTATTTTTATACTTTTATTGTTTTATTGCTCTACATTGTTTTATTTTTACATTGTTTTATTTTTACATTTTCGTACCGTGTTTTTACGACCGGTCTACTTTGTAGGCACCGAGTTATTATTTACATTTTTAATTTTAAACTATTGACAAGGCTTTGTCCCCCAAAATGTTCGCCATGACCCACACCCCGCGAAAGAAGACGACTGAACAGCCCACCACTTCCCCAAATGACGATAAGGAGAGGGCAGGACCCTCGCCTACAAGCAAGACCGCAGCCTCCAGTGTGAGGCGTAGTATTGGAGAGTGGGAAAGTGGTAAGGCAGAGCCAAAGCCGAGTACATCAACTGCACAGGCACATCCGCAATTGATCAACATATCGCCCCCTACAAAAACCACCACCGCGAAAACAGCAAGCCAGCCGAAACCCAAGCAGAAGCCAGCGCCCCCGACTGACCCACGACTGACGACGCGCAGGACCTCGGTGGAAGCCCCAGCGGCAACCACCAAGTCATCACCAGCTGCCAAACCCACGGGAAGGGTACAGGAGGGCCGCGCTTGGCTGGTTAAGGCTAAGACACACGTGACAGAGTCACGCAACCTGCGAGGCGATCTTAAAGAGGGTTTACTGACAGCGGTAGACCGGCTCTACCAGCTATTAAAAGATACCGTGGCTGAATTGGAAGAGGAAAAAAGGAAGAATATAGGAAATAAGGACAAGGGGAATGGAGATAGAGTGATAGGAAGGTCAGAGAAAGAGGTTGAGGACTTGAGAGCTCNAAGAGCGCATAATGAGGAAGTTATTAGGATGCTGAAGGAACAAAGTGCAAAGATAGAACAGAATAGTGTAGAACTGACAAAGCTCAAAGAGTCCGTCGACAGCAACCTTGTGGCCACCCAGAGAGCGTCTTACGCCGAAGTCGCCGGAGACCAGAGCAAGAAGCAGATGAACGATCGG